GTTTCTGATTCATCTCTGGCTCCCATCAGGCTCCTGAAAGAATGCTGAGCACATAGGAGCATAATGCTTTGTTCAATGAATATTTGTAGGATGAACCAATGGAGACTCTTGGAACTCTAGAAATAGTACTGAAAATTTCAGAGTCTATAGCCAATGCAAACTATATAATGGTCTTAGCCAAATATATGTATTAAACGTTGTAACTCTGATCTTATACCTAAGATTGGACTGTAGCAATGAGGTACAATGCATTATAAAGCATGACTCCTAGGACATTGTGCCAGCTAAGTGGCCAAATATTTACAAAACAATCCAGTTAACCATTGGCTTAGTTCTTTTGGTCCATGAAATGGGGAGAATATCAGCCTCATGATATCGTTGCTATGCTTGGCCAAGACATTCTATGTGAAAATGCTATGAAAAGTAATGAGAACTATATAAAAATTTGAGTTGTCTTATTTCACAAATGCCACTACTGAATTATTTGCTTATCTATTTCTCCCACATTTTCACATATGTAAATATATGAACATGGTTGGATGAGGTGGCTCATATCTGTAATCCCAGCACTTTGGGAGGCCGAGGCAGAGAGATGACCTGAGGTCAAGAGTTTGAGACCAGTCTGGCCAACATAGTGAAACTCCGTCTACTAAAAATAAAAAAATTAGCCAGGCTTGGTGACATGTGCCTTTAGTCCCAGCTACTCCAAAGGCTGAGGCATGAGAATCACCTGAACTTGGGAGGTGGAGGTTGCAGTGAGCTGAGATTGTGCCACTGTACTGCAGCCTGGGAGAAAGAGCTAGACTACATCTCAAAAATAAAAACTAATAAATAAATAAATATTTTTAAAAAGAAAGGAAAATCTATTTAAACAGCACTCAGACCAAATATTTTAGTATTCTTTACTATGCGTCTAAATATTTAATAGATTATTAGTAGACACAAACACAGAAGACACTATTTCACATTTGCATGTTAATGAAAAATTATAAATTATACATTATTTGCTATGTAGAGTAGTGGAAACAGTATTCATTTTTTATGGCCGTAAAAACTTAGATTGTCTCCTGAAACACACATCAAATCCCCTTCTATAATAGTGCCAGAAAGATCTGCAAGCTTTCTAAAACCATCTCTAGCGAAATTAGATAGATTTGTTTGTGCTGCTATGCAACACGCTAGTGTGAAAGTTCGTTTTAAACAAAACAGTTTTAATAATGTCATTACTAATGTACATTTGGTCATCACTAAAAAATGGGGTTTTAATATGAATGTTTCATTTTAATAAACAGCAGAGGAAGCAAGTTGCCCTGAGTCAGCAGGAAGTGGTTATACACCAGAGAACAGCCTGATTGTGTTAGATTCATCCAGAACACTGAACAGCCCAGAGACGGTCCAAGAAAAAACAACTGGCTTTATTCAAATGATTAGGCTTACTGCAGCTCAATAGAGAGATTCACACATTCTCCTATTATTTCTTGACCTTGTGCCAAAAACTCCCACTTACAGTAATAATTAGAATTAGTGTTTCCAGTGCATGCCTCCATCTTCCTAACAAACAGTAAAAAAAAAAAAAAAAAAAAAAAAAAAAAAAAAAAAAAAAAGTGGCGCTTACAAACTATGCAGTTAATGAACATTTTCTTCACTTTATTTGATTAATACAGCTCAATTTCCCTAACTCTATACCATTACACCCAAATATATCTAATTTTTATTGCTAAATCGCTACAAGTGCAACTATAAGGACTATCAATATTAAACCGTTGAAAAGAACCAGTGTTTCTTTCTACCTCTCATTAAATTTTAAGAAACTCCCTTCCTTTTCCTGGTCAGGGTACACATGAAAAGTTGTCTTTGACTGCTGTCATTCTGGATTCTGTGCATTTTTGGTCCAGTAATGTAGAAAACCATAAATACCACAAATATTGAATCACAAAAGTTGTACTCAGTATAGAGCACAAATTACTGTGCCTGTTATTTTAATGAGCACAGTTTGTGGGAAGGTCTGGAAGGGCCCATAAAATCTTCGTAGATGTTGATGAAATACTTCTGTCTACATTGTCAGTCTGAACCTCTCACCAGGCTTCTCCTTAAGCTCAGCGTGCACTTCCACGAAGGGACTGGCAAGAAGAGAGTCATGTCATATTTATGCGTTCAGTGATTCTTGCAGCACTGTGGTTATTACCACTCACAGAAGCCTAACACACACATCCTAGGAGTTTACCCTTAGTTGGCAGGACCTAATGGGAAATCAAATAGAAATCATAAGGTGTGAAAAACAAACAGGAGAAAAATAAGCAAAACTTAAAAAAAATACTTAATAGAATAAATAGGATTGCTAAAACAGGAGGGAATGGCATTCCTTGTCAGAGATAGAGGTCAGGATTGGAATCCCAAAACCTAGCTGGGACCCCATACCTCTGCCACTAACTTATTTCATTCTGCTTGGATGAGGCATCAAGTTAGGAAACTTGGGCACTCTGAGCCTTAGTTTTCTTAGTTACAAAATTAGGTGAACAAAATTCCTACTTCAATCACCTCACTGGTTTGTTGTCAAGAATAAATGAATGGATGCAAGTCTTATAAACTCTACACGGATACAGGCTGGTGAGTGTTTGAGTTCCTGGCAAGATACTGTATCGTAAATCCATCGCCTTGCTCCCTTGCTTCAAGCCCTTCTTGGCCTCACGCATTACTTGGTATCCAGGCTCCTTGCTTGGCCTGTAAGTCCCTACTAGCCCTGGGCTCTGCTACTCTTTTCATCATGGTCTAACACGTGCAGCGGCCACACAGGTCTGGGAAGAAGCCAAGATCACTTTCACTTCAAGACCTTTGGTATACAGAACCCTCTGAATGGGATGCCCTTTCCTGAGATCCTTATATGGCGGGCCCCTTTTTCTTCTAGCCTAGCTAAATTTTACCTTTCCAGTGGGTCTTTTTGTGCCTGTAGCTACAGTACCCTCTCCCACAGCACTCCCTGTCTAACCTATTGACTTTCTGCAACCTGAAATTATCCTCCCTGCTTCTTTGCTCACCTGAGTATTGAAGGGTCCTCACAGAATACAGGCTACCTAAGAGCAGGACTGTTGCTGGTCATGTTCACTACTTTAAAACTGGCACCTGGAAAACTGCCCAGCCCATAGCAGGGACTCAATAAAACTTGTTGAGTGGCTGATGAATATGACAGTTGGCTATTCACTGAGAGAGACAGATAACAGGAAGGGCCAGGCTGGTGTTCGAAGACCCTGACCACCGCCCTTTTTGTAAACCATCTCAAATGTGTCCTGTGCCTTCATACAATGGCTCCTGGTCTCTCTCTGTCTGAACTGCCCATGTATCTCCACTTTCTCTTATCTCCCAAGGTAAAAGTAATAATAATTATAATGGTATTAATAATTATTGCTCTCATTGACAAAAAAAGAAACAATATCCCTTTCCTGAGTGATAACCTGACTGAACTACAAGTCAGTTCTCTGTCAAGAGTAATCACAATAATTGAGCACTAACTTGCAGCTAAATACTTTACATATGTAATCTCATTTGAATCCTTAGAATATTTCACTTTTGAGTGATCAAGGATTAGAGAGATGAAGTAATTTATAGGTCTCACCACCGCAAGAGGCAGGGCTTACCCCCAAATGAATGTTGGTGAGAGACTCATGCTCTCTCCTGCATCATACTGCATTGTGTATAGCAAAGCCCTTGCAGAGAAGAACTCACGCTCTTGCTTCCACACATCTGGGCTCACTTTTTCTATACCCCAGTATCCCCTCTCCTGGATGATAAATTGACTGAATTATCAGAGAAATGAATCGGGCAGCTCATGCTTTTGTTTTTTCATTAATGTATAATATATCTTTTCAGAAGCCTTTTGAATACAAAATAACTGGCAAAGGGACACTCCAGATTGATGACCATAATAACAGCTTACATTTATGAAGCACACACTATGTGTTAGGCATTTGAAACTTCATGACAACTCTGTGAGATACGTCCTATTTGGATCCCTTCTCACAAATGAGGAAACTGAGCCATAATAGTTTAATACTTTTCTTCATGTCACACAGCTAGCAAGTGGTGGAGCTGGGATTTTGTGCTCACAAGCATGACTAAATGGGCAGTGTGCTCCATCACTATGTTAAGCTGATGGGCCCATGAAATCAAAGTGAGGCCTAGCTTACTTGGCCTATACGTAAACAAATCTCATCTGCAACAGCAACTCCTTTTCCCATGTAACATCTGGCCTAAGAAGGGCCCCTAAATAAATCATTTTCTGGTTTTTGGCAATGTTAGTTAATGCTTCAGTCTTGTGATTATTTTTAATATTAGAATGATAAAAAAGTAGAACAGTCTTGGATAAATAAACCACCTATTTTTCATTTGATACAGATGAGCCATCATCCAAACAATATCATTAATCACCTTAATATATCTATCACCATCACTTTCTCTAGACTTGTTTCTTCCTTTGTCAATGAGAAATGCATGAAATAAAACAATTGTGTGATAAGAAATCATGCCAACAAACGACTGCATTTCCAGTTTCTGTTCTAGGTTTTTTGTTGTTGTTGTTGCTGTTGTTAAAATCCCAAATAATACAGATTTTAGTTAGGCCCACGATGTCATTACACTTCTCAGTTAAAGAAGGGAGGATTTTAAAAAGGAGCAGAAATCATTGCACAAAGACTCCTAAAGGTAGTTTTGATGAGAAATTTCTCACTAAAAATGAGACTTTTTTAGAGAAAGTCAACCAAAAGGGGAAAAAATATGACAGAAATTTTGGATCAGGCATTTTAGTAATTAACCACCAAATTTCCAGATGATAAGGCAGAAAGCAAGCTAAGTCTTGGAGAAATTGCCCTCTGGGAAAAAAGGAAAAAACGGATTTTGAATTTGACAGTTCAACCTTGTACCAGCACCGTTTTCTCCTCCTGCCAGTTTAAGGAGTTCTAAGCACCCTTCTGTAAATCATCATCTCACATCTATTTATTATCTTCCAGCTCGGTGCACAATACAATCTGTTACACATGGATACCAGCAATAATACACGGGGGGCTCTGGTGTAGGAGACAGTAAGCTCTGTGCTCATCCGCTTTCCGAGTCTCATCCCGCAACATGGAGTTCCTGCTCACGCTGTGGCCACCATCATCGGCAATTAACACAAAGGTATTATGCTTCTAGCCTTCATTCCTCTTTACTTTACTCATGCAGTATGATGTTAGCCACCCAATGCTATATGGATACAAAAAGTGTCTGACTGCCTTAGAGCACCATAAGGTTGAAGAGATTATGTCTATTTATTTATTTTTTTATTTTTTACTGTGAGAGTGGGCAATTTAGTAGGAATCTGGTAACCTGTATTACAAGATACTTGTATACACAGTAGCACTGTTTCTGTTCAGTGGAGAGCTAAAATAAAATGAATTCCATATCCCTGCCAGAATGCTACAAAAAATGTTGGCTATTATTGCAGAAGAGGAAATCAAACCCAGTGGAACAAAAATTAAGAACTTTAAATGTATGCTGTTGCAATGATTCTCAACACAGGCTCTGAAAAGCTTTTTAAAAAAAAAATGCCAGGAGCAGTGGCTCATGCCTGTAATCACAGTACTTCGGGAAGCTGAGGCTGGCAGATCACAACGTCAGGAGTTCAAGACCAACCTGACCAACATGGTGAAATGCCATCTCTACTAAAAATACAAAAATTACCTGAGCGTGGTGGCACATGTCTGTAATCCCAGCTACACAGGAGGCTGAGACAGGAGAATCACTTGAACCCAGGAGGTGGAGGATGCAGTAAGCTAAGACCATGCCATTGAACTCCAGCCTGGGTGACAGAATGAGACTCCATCTCAAAAAAATAAAAATAAATAATCCAGACACCCAGCACCCATCCAGGAGAGATTCTGATTCATTTATTATCTTCCAGCTCGAATAGAACCCAGGCACTTGAAAAAAAAAACAAAACTCAGATAATTCCAGTTTGCCTACAGGATTGAGAACAACTGATCTGGGACAAAACTTCGGAGCCCAATTATTGTTTCAGTACTAGCACAATGGTTTACTTGTGAGACTTTCTATGAGGGCTTCATCTTTCACTTTGTTTCTAGATTTCATCTATCATGAAGAGTTGTCATAACAATTAATTAGATCTTGTAAGTGAAACTACCTTGATAAGCATAAAATGCTATAAAAATATAAAAAGAAAAAGAAATGAAAGAAATCTCTGAAATCAAAGAACTGTGAGATCTATTGTCAACTCTGACACAATATTTAGACTCATAATATTTGTCTGACTTCAAGCACACGTCCTTTTACATTTCTTAACTTTAGTTTCCTTACCTGTAAAATGGAAACAATGTATTCAACCTGCAGCTCACAGCAAAGGAAGATAAATACTCCTATTTTATAGAAGTGTGAAGGTTTAAAGACAGTATTTTTAAGATACAATTCCAATCCAGTTTAGTTTTGCTCCCCTTCCCTTAACGTTTCTCTGAGAATCAATTAAGTTAATGTACGTGAGAGCATATTATAACTATGATTTATTATCATTATGCTGTTATTGTTATGTTTTCATTATGTCTCATTTTGTTCAGCTGTAAAATGAGAGTATTGAACTAAATCATCCTAAAAACATCCTCTAAGCACTAAAATTCTGCGATTGGTAAAAAACATGGACAACCTTTATACTCATTTGATTCTGGTTCTATATGTGTATGTGAGAGAGAGAGAGAGAGAAAATGAGACTGAAAGAGCCATAAAGTCCATGTGTGTGTGTGTCTGTGTAAGTTTCGAGAGAGAGAGAAACAGAAACATTAATGAAAGGAAGGATCCTGAGTTGTCTTAGCTTAGAATTCATCACACTTCCTGACTACATTATTCCTCTGGGATAATTCACAGGAGAATTCTGAAGAGTTCACAAACAAGAATCTCGTTCTACTCTGGAATTTAGGTGCACCTTGACTTCTGCGGATTCTAACTGGTTTGGATGCTGAAATTTGAACTTTGCTTCAAGCCAGAAGGCTAAACGAGCAAGCCCAGTAACTATATGCTGCTCTCTAGGATTGCCTGAAGATGTCTAATTCAAGTTGCTGGACTGTTTCAATCACTTAGATGCACCGAACCCCCTCAAACAGACCCGTATAGCCAAATTTCTGATGCTAGATTTGGAGGAGTGAAACATATTTCTGCATTTCTGAAAGCATTCAAAGGAAGGAACGGGAAAATGCTGCATTCTATTAGTAGGTGTGTACATGTGCAGATTCTTTATTGTGTGAATTTTTAAATTGGTCCTCGCTGTGGGCTCATTTTCTTTTGGGTATGAATGTGCTCAGGTTTCTCCACTCTTGAAATAGCATCAAAATAAAAATAGAAATTAAAAATCCTCTGTTTCCACCAAATATTTCTTTCTAGCTGCAGCGCTACCTCTCTTCTTGTTTTCATAACCAACATGTTTACAGCACTGTCTCTGCCTGCAACCTATATTTCATCTTTCTGATTCATCCTTAATCCCCTGTAACCTGGCCTTGTCTCTACCTTTGGCCAAGATTGGCGTGTTCTCTTATGAGTTAATTTCAGAATGCCAGTTCTTCCCTTGTGTGATCTTACTGAGTACTACTCTACTTCTAATTCCATCGACCATGCCTCTTATCTCAGACCTCATCACCCCTTGGGTTTACAACACTGATCACTCCTAGGTTTCTTCTCACTCTCTGCCCTGTCCTTGGTTTTCTTCAGGTCCTTCTCATGCCATCTGGTTCTTACACGCTGATTTTCCAAAAACCTACCCCTATACTTTTCTTCTGATCACTCTACACACACTTTCTGAACAGGCTCATTCACGTGCATGGTAGCAATCACTACTTCTCCCGGGCTCCTCAAAAGCAGCCTAAGTGGGGCAAATCTTTACATGCTACTACTTTCTTAGGAAGTACAATCTCAGAAAAGCATGAACGAGCAAAAAGGAAAATGAGTAAGGGAAGGAGTAAGAACAAACACAGCTGCAGTTTTGTGAAAAACACAACTGGTTTTTTCTCTCACAGATCGCTTCAAAAAGGCTGTCTATAATCCTATGAATCTGGACAGTGTCTTATGCATCTTCAGATCCAACATATAAAATTTTAAATTAAACATTCACCCTTCCAGTCTCAATGTCTGCTCCCCCAACAGCATGTCATTTTTCTGTGAGTGTTATTTTCATCAGCCTAAGACACTTAAATCATCCTTGAGCTTTCCTTCTGCCTCATACCTCCTGACGCTGCTATCTCCAGGTCACCTAATTCAGGCCCTCTTCCATTCTCACTATTCATGTCTTCATTTGTTTTTTATTTTGTGTTAACTTTTCCTCATTATTCCATTCATCATTTTTCCAATCCATGCTTCAGTATCCAGAGTTAATTTCTTTAATAAATATTTGATAAAGTAATTCTTTGGCATACAAATACCTAAATGACTTATCAGTGCATTCAGGATAAGTGTGGAAGTGCCAAGCATGACATGATCTGAACTTGACTTCCACTTCAGCTATACCTTGCTCCATTCCTGTTTTTAAACTTTGAGCTTTAGCCACATTCAATGACCAGTAAGTTCCTCGAGTGTTGTGTCTTACTATGGCATTCTTCCTCTGCACAGGCTCTTTACATTATAACGTTCCCCTCCCTCAATGGCTTCTTCTAATTTATACCTGCTCACCCTGCAAGACTTTCATCTTTTCTTCAAAAATCCTTGACCTCAGCCAGTCCTCTTCCTGCCATATGGGCTCAGCACCCTTACTGTTGGCTTTCTTTACACACTAACATTGCCCTTCTCACACACCCTGCTATGAAAATATTTTTAACAAACATAAGTGAATGGCTAATTTTACATGTACTTAACTGGGTTAAGGGATGCCTGGATAGGTGGTAAAACATTATTTCTGGGTACACTTGTAAAGGTGTTTTGGAAGAAATTTGCATTAAAATTGATAGACTATGTAAAGATCTGCCCTTATCAATGTGGGCAAGCATCATCCAATCTTTCAAGGGCCTGAATAGAACAAAAGGGGAAATTTGCTCTCTCTGTCTGAGCTGAGATATCCATCTTCTGCCCTCAGACCACAAAGTTTCTGGTTCTCAGGCCTTCAGACTAGGACTGAATTGCACCCTCAGGTTCCCTGGCTCTCCAGCTTATAGACAGAAGGTTGTGGGATTTCTTGATCGCCATAATTGCTTGAGATAATTCCCTCGATAACTCTCATATGTTTGTATCTCCTATTGGTTCTCTTTCTTTGGAGAATATAATAAGTCTTGGAGATTTCCTATTTGCAGGCACTGCATAACCAAACTTGCCAAATCCTTGGTGTCTGGCAGGGCTGAGTAAGCCAGTGCCCATGAATAAATTAGACTACGCCAACAACAACAAAAGAGGTACTGGATGTTTTTCCAGCACTCAAATTGTGTCAGGCAGAATGCGAACTGTTTTACATACATAATCGATTGCCAAAAAATTAGTTTTGAGTTAGACCATTTGTATTCCTTTTTCAGACCCAGGTTAAACCACAGATAAAAATATCCTTGTGACTAGGATCAGATTTCCTTTCCGGCATTCCCTGCAGCGTTCCAGGACTCTTCCTCCTACTAAGAGCTAACATTTATTGTGCTCTTACTGTTTGAGCCAGGCACTAAGCTAAGCCTATTAATCTTCACAACAACCTGATGTGATAAAGACTGTTTTACTCCTGTGCTGCAGAGGAGAAAAATATAGCACAGAGAGATAAAGTAACTTTACCAGGATGTATTTATAGTAAGCGCTAGAGCCGGGATTTCGTCATAGACCACAGATTCCAGAGCCTGCACACCATTTAACATACCTTTTCTATAGCCGGATGATATTGTGATTGAAGGCATAAGAAAATACAGGCATTGAGAAACCTGGCTTCTGTCTGGTCTCTGTTCATTTTTATTAAGCTACAAAACTTTGTATTGGCCACTGGAACTCAGTTTCCTCATCCATCAAAAGTGTGGAGTTTAATTCTGATATTCACTATGCTTTCTTTTGACTTCTATTTTGGTGACTCTATTCTAAATGTCAAACTGAGCTTCACAAGCTCAATGGGAAAGGAAATCATCATGTAGTCTTGACAGCCAAAAACCCAGCTGCAAAAGATGAAAGAAAAAAAGAGCCATTCACCAGAAAAATGACTGGGCAGGTACAGACCCACACACCTTATACTAGGAATCCAAATGTCCCTTTGGATCCGGCTATTCTAATTGACTTCACTGTTGCTTTTAAATCAGTTTATTATGGAAACAGTTTATAAAATGACTCTTCCTTTGTTCAGTCCTCTTGGGTTTTTATCTTTTACTGATTTTGCCAGTTAGAAAATAAAGTGACTTTCCAGAACTACTCAGGCACATCTTCAGGGATGGAACAATCACAGGGAAGCTCACGTTGTAGCTCGTTTCTCTGAAGATGAGGACCACCCCTCCAGCTAAGGAAAGCACTAAACACCGTATTTCCAGGGATATATTTAGGAAAAAATATGATTCCAAAAGAAAGCATCTTCTGTGACACAGTATGCACCTGCCCAGTCACCCTAATTGTGAGATCTTGGTTGTATAAATCTTACCCAAGCAACCACCAAAAGTAGGGATGTTGTGGGGGAAGTGGAAAGAAGAATTAAGTGCATATGTAAAAGGGTCCCTTTCTAATGGAGGTCTCTAAATTTTGCAATTAATGAAAGATAAAGAGCCCTGGCTTCAAGCCCTGACTTTCAGTCCAGGCTCAATTAGCTACACAGTCTCCGATGTCTACTCCTCTCTCTGAATCTCTGATTATCTACAAAATAGGTAGCTGGACAAAAACAAACTCTTAAGTTCCTCATAGTTGTAAACCTTCTATAATGCTGATTTTTGCTAAGGCTCCAGAATTTGAATTTATTTTGTAATCCCAAATATTGCCACTGAAATGTCTTTTGTTCAGCCCCGTTGGTAAGCTCAGAATTTCACACTCATTACAAAACATAATAAAGGCATAAAACAAAATGAAAGAACCCTAATGAACAAAAAACCCTCCTATTGCTAGCTTTGAGTTTAAAGGTGAGAAACTGGACTGCAGGTGATTGTCTTGGGCAAACTGCAGTGTGATTGCATTGTTCTGGCTTGGGACCCTCTTCTCTTGGATCAGAACCAGACCAGCTTTATGAGCAAGCCCGTTGCTTCTCTACATTTCATCTGAGTTACATTTGAATGAAAAAATTGCAAATAAAACTCAGAAAAGGTTTTTTTTTTGTAGAAGTCAACAAATTGCTGTAACTAAAAGGTTGTTTGGGCTCTGAATCAACTTTATTTCTTGTCTTTTTGCTCTTTTGAAAATAAAAAATCTCATTTCCAGCTCATAAAGTAGCATTAGTTCTTATTATTCCATACATTAGAAGTCAACTGGTAATTCATAAAAATTAAATTATTGATTTTGCATTTAATTTAGTGACGACAAACTATAGGATTCAGCAGTTTGGCTCTGGTAGCCTTTAAAATGCATTAATTTTACCAGTGATTTACATAGGGCTTTATTTCCCACTGCTGCAGCTTCATTCTCCAAAGCAGAAATGCCCCATGGTTTTTCAATTTGTTACCTAATCAGCACAATATATTCCTCCTTTTCTTCCTTGTATATTGTCTCCTAAATTTGAGACTTCAATATTTGAAGAAATTGTACCAAGAAATCTCACATGGCTTTTCTATTTCTGTGAACCTTTAAGGGAATAAACTGAGAAAAATTATTACATCGAACTAGTGGTACTGCTTGCAAACACAGCAGCCTTAAGCTGATTGCATTCAAATGAATATTTTTTTTCAAATCATGATACTTGGACATTTCAAAAATATTTCCACAAATCCACCTAAAGCTCCTAATATCAATATATCAAAATCCTTGGGAACTACAAACAATGACAAATATTGGAGTTCTGAAAAGCAGTTTCCTAAGGTGATTCTGATGAGGCATACTGTGTGACAAAAGCCGCTCTCTGCTCCCTAAATGCCCACGTTCTGGCACCAGACTGAGGTGGTAAATTCTCTCCAACCTTACCCTTCTTTATTGTTATCTCCAGGTTAGAGGACCCCAGAGACAACTGGGGTGATGCCACAGTTCAAAACCTTGGCTTTGCTAGTCAGACAGAAGCCCAGTTTCTTTAACCTACCGTAATTCTATGTGCATCATAACTATATACTCCACACCCAGTGAAACCTGTGGAGAAAAACAGAAGACACTTCTTCAAATTTTAAGGTGATTCTGGAGGTGTTTATCTTAGCTAAAGGCAGTGAAATCAAACCGTATATTGAGAGTGAAAATATTCTATTTTTCCAAATCAATTCAACAAAGTGCTTATCTCACAGGAGAAAAATACAGTGATGAGTAGCTAGGAACTACCAAAGTTCCCATCACAAGTGCCCAGTGCTCCATGTTGGGGGTGCAGAACATTAGGCTGAACCAAGGGGGTTGACACTGGGGGGGGCAAGAGTTTGAGAAGAAATGAAGGTGTATTGGAGTTTTATACTGGGCAGAGATAAGTGCTACAGAGAAAGTTAGAAGAGATTTGGCCATTTGAGTAGAAATATCTACTTTCTAATATGCCTTAAAAAGTTGACAAACAGGAAACCTTCAAGGGAACTCTTCTTTGAGGGCTGCCATAGAGAAATTCATTTTGAATATAAAATGAAAGAACAAATATGACAACAACAGTAACAGCCTTAAAGAGATTCCCTAGTCTATGGGGATGAAATACCGTCAGCCCCCCATATCCATGCATTCTGCATTCTGGATTCAACCATTCCTGGATAAAGGTATTCAAAAATGAATTTTAGAAATGACAATACAATAG